TATTTATTATATTAATAGTACAAATTAATTAATTCTTGCACACCTGTATTAATTTGTGCAGTTTAATGATTCCGTATTAATGCTTATTATATTATTCTTTAATCATTGTACATTTTAGAAAATTATGCTATAATATTATAATACTTATATTATTATGATACTATGTTTTAGTTTCTTTTTTTTATATTATATCACATCTTATATGATTTTTACTATTTCTCATTTATTTTACACTTTTTATTTATATGTATGTATTTGTTTATTAGGAATTTTGTTATTCTAATGAAATATATGAAATAGGATCCTTATCATCAATGAGTATTATGATGGGAAGAGCGCTATGTGCAGATAACACTATTACTCAGGCTGCCTGCATTGCATTAATGTTTCTATTCGGCGGATCCGATCCAGCACAACTTAATACTGTAATCCCCAATTTAACACGTTTTTGCTTAATTAATTAAAAGATATAGCAGTGTTACAATTAATTAAAATTATAAAATAAAATATATTTCATAGGTTTTTCTATATTTTAATATACAACAAACCAAAATTATTTTTAATTAAAATATTATTGTTGCAGACGATATTACCAATAGTATTATCGTATTATCCGGCCGGATCTTCTGTTCAATTAATAGATCATTATTTTCAAAACATGATTACAAGTGAGTATTCATTTTTACTTGAAAAACAATATAAATTATGTTAATTAAAAAGAAAAAAAAGAAATGCGCGTTAAAGCGTATTTAAAATGTTACTTTCAATATTATCAGTTTTTACAATCTTTACTTTTTTCTAGTTATATCCTTAAATTATTAATAGTATAAGAGATACCGGCTCAAATAAATTTTTTTAGCACGTTGTGATGTTTACGATCTTATGTTTACTTAAATTAAAATTAAAATTTGCAAATACTCTTTATAATTTTAATTCCATTTATGTAGATAATTAATATTAATTAAATTGCTGCAGAGAAATTTCAAGCCTACGATTATGGGTATTTTGGAAATTACAAACAATATGGTCAGATAACGCCCATAATATATGACCTTAACAAAGTTACTGTGCCTTTGGCTATATATTATAGCACTAACGATTTGATTGCAACAAAAACGGTAAGGACGTTTGATTTTTATGTAAAAACATGTTTTGATTAAGAAATGTATATATTAAAAAAATAAATAAATTTTTTAATTGTTTGTATATATATATA